AAAAAAAAAAAAAAAGACAGGTTCACAGAGGTCATTTTCTGTTCCCAGGTTACAGAATTAGCAAATAGTGAGCTCACATTTAAATTTGGGGCTTCTGACCACTTCTTTGTGAAGCTGCCATGCTTTAAATAATAATATAGCAGACACCAACCGCTTGCTATTTCCAGATACAACCTGAACCACTGTGCTCTTAACCACTGTGATGTGCTGTTAATCTCTTCTTCCTTCTTTAAGTCTCATTTTCTCTGAGCATTTATTAGACAGCGAGAGGCAATTCATGGAGGAGGGAAGAGCATGAACTCTGTCTGGAGCTAGATTGTTTGGGTCAAGGGCTTCTCGAAAAGCTTACTAGCTGTCAGCTAGTAAAATCCCTGTCTTGTTCTTCCCTCGTTACCTAGCAAGTAACTAGGGGCAAGTTACTTAACATCTCTATAGGTTGGTTTCCTTATTTTTAAGGTGAAGATAATAACCATATTACCTCATTGGGTTTTTGTAAGGATTAATGGGATAATGCCCATAAAGGGCTTAGAAGGAGCCTCCTGACCCCTGGAGCTAGCACGGGCCTCCCACAGGCACTCAACATCTCTGCCCTCCGCCTACTTCCCTCTGAGTGGTCTTCCCACAGTGGGTGGACTGCCTTATCTCCCCAGTGACAGTGTGAGCTCTTGCTGGCTTGGTCTGCTTGTTCAAATCGTAGGCTCCAGGGCAGTGCCTGGCATGTAGTTGGTGCTCAGCGTGCATTTGTAGTATGTGTTTCGGATAAACCTGAACCACAGGTTCCATTTTGAACAAAATAATCGCTACTCTGGTTTCCTGTCAATATGCCCTATGAATTAGCGTTCCCCGAAATTCCATTTCCAGGGCTTCCAATGTGCTCTCAAATGACTCATGAATCTGCTCTTCTGGTTCTGACCGTTTTCAAAATCTGTGTCTCCAACTACCTATTGGAAAGAAAATCCCGTAGGCATCCCAAACTCTGCATGTTCAAAACCAAACGCACCGCCTTTTCCTTCAGACACAGGTCTTTCTTCTGTGTCCCCAGCCTGGTTGATGACATGTGCCTTCACCTGCCCACTTAGAGACCTTGGAGGCTCCCGCACTCGCCCCTCTTCCCCTCAGCCTGCAGCCAGCCACCTACGTGGCTGCCCAAAACTTGCCTGTGAGTCACAGACAGGGGTCTGAAGCCAGTTTTCAGCCACCAGACTCCAAAGCTTGCACCCTCAACCTGAGAAATTTCTCCAAAGAAGTCCCTCCTTTAACCTCGGGATCCTTGTGTTAGTTTGGACTGCATGTGTCCTGGCATGTCCCACCAGCCTTCCTTGTGTGCTTGTGTACAGCTCCTTCTCCACCCCGTGGCAAGCACTGGCTTTCTAAAATACAAATTCAGGGGCTACCTGGGTGGCTCAGTCGCTGAAGCATCCAACTTTGACTCAGGTCATGGTCTCCCGGTCTGTGGGTTCGAGCCCCGCGTCGGGCTCTGTGCTGACAGCTCGGAGCCTGGAGCCTGCTTCGGATTCTGTGTCTCCCTCTGCCCCTCCCCCGCTCACGCTCTGTCTCTCTCTCTCTCTCTCTCTCTCTCTCTCAAAAATGAAAAAAACATTAAAAAATAAAATAAAATACAAATTCTGTCTTGTGACTGCTGCATTAAAACCACTGTTGGCTCCTTGTGCATGTTTTAAAATCTAAACTCCTCACACAGCATACAATCCCTTTCTTTGTCTTTGTGTAGTTTCCCTCCCCACTCCGTGGCCCCTGCCCTCAGCTGCACCTTAGCCTTAAGGTCTCCTGCTAGACCAGGCAGGTTCTGCACATGCTGCTCTGGGCCTAGAACACCCTTTCTCCCCTCTGCTTAGTGAAGTCTTTTTCATCCTTCAACATTTAGCTCGCAAGCCACATCCTCTGTGAAGGCTTTCAAAGAGGGCCCCAGTCAGCCCCTCCCACCAGTGTCCCTCACACGGCCTTCTGCGCCCACGATTTGGGTGAACACATTTCTGAATCAAGAGTGCAGATGTGACAGTTCAGATGGCAAAGACTGTGCTCCTGGAGACAATGGGACGGATAATTGAACGAAGTCCAGAAGAACCTCGTGGGAGATCACTCCTTCTTCCTCTCCACCACCCTGTGAGGGGCCAGGAAGGGCCCTTCTCTGGCAGGGAGCTGTTAGTATCTCTTCGTATCTGCCCGGCACCTGGCACGATGCCCACCCCAATCGTAGTTGCCGAGTGTCTGAGGATTCTACCGGGCCTGAGATTTTTTTAAAGAACAGATCCAAATCTCATGTGTAAATTCCGCCAAATAACCAACCAACCCAACCAAGCCAGTAAGAGACATCGTTTGCATCTTGGCTTTATCCCTAAGATGATTTGCTTTTCCTAGCCTCCGCTTCCTCGTCTGTGAAACAGGGATAGGAGTAGCTATTTCCAGGGGTTGCTGTGAAGATTAAGGGAGCGAATTGAAGGAAATTAGCAAACACAGGGCCTGGCTCAGGAGTCTTTGTTTCAGGCGCAGAGATATGTGGAGCTCATCACTATAAACAGGAACTGGGAGACAAGGTCATGTCCTGAAATAACTTTTTAAGGTTAGGATTTCATTGGGAATTTTAAAAGTTAAGACAATGAAGAATACCACTGGTATTTACTAACAGCGTTAGCATTCGAGGATGCATCCTCCTAAATTTTACAAGAACTCTCTTTTATCCACAAGATTTATAGTCGGGCTGGGGAAGGTGTGGTTCACCATTTGTTTTGCTGCACCTTTGTTTATCTGCTGTCTGATCCCAAACTTAGCCCTGCAAAGGAGTCGGTGGGGTGAGTGCTTTACAGATTGCGGGGCCCCAACCCCACACGCCTACTGAATCAGAATTGGGGGCAGGAAGGGGACTGTAGATGTACATTTATAAAAACCTCCCCTTGTGGTTTGATCATCTGCAAGTTTGGGGAACCACTAGTATATGTATCGCTAGAAAAGCATAGTGCTCAAAAGTCTCCATGACTCAGCTTCATCGTCTTTGTAATTAAAAAAAAAAAAAAAAATGAGTTAATTTGCCTTTGTGTGAACTATTAGCTTTCTTAATGCCTGTTTCACCTTCACCCCGGTCTGTTCATCCTGGAACAGGATGAACTGGAAAGAACCGTTCCAGTTAAACAATAGTAGAAAAAAAGGTGCAAACTTTACCAGCTTCCCTACCACCTCACTGATGCTTAGCATCAGTGAGGTGTTTCCCCCCATGTCCTCCTGGGGCAATTTAAATGCTAATGTGTCAGTACTATAATCTCTTTAGCAATCAGATAGAATTGTTTTTCTGCCAATCTTATTTCTCTTTGTTTTATATTTGTTCATTCATTCGTTCGTTCATTTGTTCATTGTTAGAGAGGCATATGTTTATCATCTTTGACCTTTCAAACCTCAAGAGAAGAAGAAGAAGAAGAAGAAGAAGAAGAGGAAGAAAATTCCATCCTGGTATCTTCTCTGCAGTACTTTCAAGAGGAGAGGAGGGCATCCACCCTCTAAACCTGAGATCTGCAATTTGAATGTGCTGAGTCACCTAGTTTGCAGGGTCAAACATTTTGCACCTAGGAAAAGTACCGCAGAAAATAAAACTGTGAGCAGCTAGCTGGTATGTTGTTATTTGGATACGAATAAGAAGACTGGAACGGGGATCATGCATAGTAACTTATTATTAACTTTTAAACTTGTTTTCAGAGATTTCTAATAGCCTGGTAAATCCTCTTTCTGTCTGGTGATTTGTTGGTGAAATTCTTTAAATATTTCTTCCTGTTCCTGGAAAGTGAAAATGAATATAAATGGTAAAGCAGTTGTCTTACAATGTTTAGAAAAAAGGAAAAAAGAAATGGTCTTTGCCATTATTCTGAAGTTTTGCATAACTAAGCTTCTTGAATTAGCTTTCTTTCAAAGAATTAGTCATAAAAGCGTAACAGTAATGAACTAGATATTGAGGGCTGGTGTCTAACTTTAGTCGAACTTTCAGTAAGTCTGTTTTCTTATTTGATCATGTAGTTGAATAGACAGTGAGGAGATGTGACTACAACTGGATTAATAGGGGAAGTGGCAGGAAGCTGCAGTTTCCTGAGAATCGGAAAGAAAGTTTACAGAACGCTTGCTGGGAATGTGGATTATAGATAAAGATAAAATTTGTAACCATTTGTATTTAGAGTGGCTATTTTATTTCTATAATATGAAAGTGGTTCCCTTTAAGGTAAGCATTCGGAACTCAATGACAACATTCCTTCAACAAGGAAGTCAGAAATTTCTGTTTACTAGTATTAATAAATAAGGTCATTTCACGAGATGGACGTTGACTATAGAACCAGTTAAGATGACTGTCTTCCAGAGCGTGTTAAGTCTTGGGTGGGGAGCAGCGGCTTGATCGCTTCATGGATGGAGCAGTGGGCACCGAGATCTCCCAGCCAGCACCTGTGGAATAACAACAAAATAAGTACTGTCCCCTGAGTGTTCACTTGCTCTGTGCAGCGACAGTGCTAAGTACCTAGTTGCACTCTCTCTGAACATCCTTATAGTCTCCATAAAGGAAGAGCTTTTGTTTTTAATAGCTTAAAGCTGAGTATACTAAAACTTAGAGGCTAAATCATTCGCATAGCGCTTCTAGACAGTGGCAGAGTGAGAATCTGAGCCCAGGAGAATGATTCTAGCCCTGGTGTCACTGTGGAGAGTGCCTCTTAGCTCATAAAAATGACTACTCACCGACAAGGAATGTTAAATATGGAAAGAACATCATCAGTTGGTTGGAGTTCTTGTTTTCTCTTGGAGAACAATTAAGGAGGGGGTGGGGACGGGAGAAAGAGAAGAAAGGGCCGGAAGACTGCAAATAGCCACCCAGGAGCCCAGCGGGACGCAGAGCAAGATTCTAACTTAGCACACCTTCTTGCTCAAAGCGATTCTGTCATTAGCACCTATAGATGAAAACGTGGAATGTATTACACGTGTGTTTTGTTTGTTTCCACCTTAGATTGATGGACATAACACAATGACTTGGCATTAAAAGAACAAAAAAAGAAACCCCTAAGCTAACTGCCTTTCATTTGACTCTCCAGAACCAGAAGTAGGCTAACATTCTACAGGTAGAGGGGCAGGGTGAGGACATGAACATCTAGCATTCAGCAGAGTGGTCTGAAGAAAGGGTGCAGTGTAGGCATCAGGCCAACATGGCTCTGCGTCTCTGTTGTTTATAAGCCTGGTGATCTGGGTCAAGTGACTTGATCCCTATGAAATCAGGATGGTTCCTTTTCTTCACAAGACCTAGTGTGGGACCAGAGGAGAGACTCAGCAAAGTGAATTTTTAATTTTCACTTCCTCAGAGGCCCAGGTAAGACTAGTTCTGGCATAGAGCAACCTGGGAAACCACATAGAGAATAGAAATGCTCTGGGTTCAGGTGGCTATGTCTGAGCCCCAGCTCGGGTCAGGGGAGTTCTCATGGAGAAGATGAGATATAAGCAAAGATTTGAAGTTGCTGAGGGAGTTAGTCATGTGGGGATCTTGGTGGAAGGTCCTCAGGCAGAGAAAATAGCTAAGGCAAATAGAAAATTGCCTACTGGCCAGATTTAGGAATAAAAAGGAAGGCAGTGTGCCGGGAACAGAGCTTGTGGGGGGAAGTAATAGAAAGTGAGGTTAGAGAAGTAAAGGAGTTGGACTGTTAAGCATTATCTTAATGATTGAGGGGGTACCTGGGTGGCTCAGTCAGTTAAACATCTGACTCTTGATTTTGGCTCAGGTCATGATCTCACAGTTTGTGAGATTGGGCCCTATGTCAGGCTCTGTGCTGACAGTGTGGAGCCTGCTTGGGATTCTCTCTCCCTCTCTCTCTGCCCCTCCCCTGCTCTCGCTTTCACTTGCTCTCAAAATAAATAAATAAACATTAAGGGAAAAAAAGGACTTTGAGTTTTATAATGAAAGAAATGTGAAGAAATATGGAGCCATTGCTAGGTTTTGAGCAGAGGCGGACATGATGAGACTGAGGTTTCGAAAAGGTCATTCCAATTGCTATACTGAGAAGAGACTTGCAGAGGCAAGTTTGAAGCAGGGAGACTAGTAATCCAGACAAGAGAGGATAATGGCTCTGACCAGGGTTCATGACAGTCCAGGGGATAAGAAGTGATCAGATTCTGGACATATTTTGAAGGTACGACCAGTAGGACTTATCATGGGTTAGATATGAAATATTTTTGGCATGAGCAGTAGGAAGGCTGGAGTTTGCCAGCAACATTTGGGGGGCAACATGCAGATAGATGAAGCAGACTTGCGGGTAAGACTAAGACTTCACATTTGTCCATGTTGAGACGTCCACTGGATATCCAAGTGGAGGTCAATGAGTGGAAAGAGAGGTCTGATCTGGTGACATATTTGGAAATGATCAGCATATAAATATTTAAAGACTGGTGACTTAGGGAGATCATAAAGGGAGCATTGATAGAGAAGAGGAGGGGTCCAAGGACTGAGCTTTAGGGCACTCCAACACTGAGAGTTCTGGAAGAAGAGGAGTGATCAGCAAAGGAGACTTGAGACAAAACAACCAGGGAGGCTGTTGGGAAGGTGCCATTCACCAGGCAGATGGTAAAGAAAGAATTCTAGCTGAGAGGAAGGCTGAAAGCAAAGACTCAGGGCTGTGAAAAGCTGATTTGGGAGAGAGGAGGAGGAGAGCAAGTGGTATGGTATGGGGAGCTTGTGGGGGAAACGTTGGGGAGAGACAGGAGATGAGGCTGGAAAAGGGGCTTTCCCAATTTGAAATGGCTTTGGATTCTCAACGTAAGACATCGGTGGTTTATTTCGTGATGTTGGCCACTAGGATCCATTGAGGTCTCACTCGAATTTATAGTGTGTCACGCACTGTACTAAGCACATTATATACATTTCATCATTTCATCTTTATACCTACCCTTTAAGAAAGATAGTATTATTATCCTCTGTAGGCGAAGAAACTGGCTCAGAGAGGTCAAAGATTTCACCCAAGGTTACCCCTCGAATGACTGCCTTTAATCAGGTGGTCCCATTCCAGAGTCCATCCCTTTACTAACCTGTCCTGTCTCCTGGATGGCTTAGCTGGGTGTTAGAAGGTTAGAGGCTGAGAACTTGCACCCTTTCTCTGGAGAGGATCTGGCTTCACTCTGTCTCTTGGAGGAGATGCTTTATGTGCAAAAGTTCAAGATAGATCTGGGGCACCCATGAAGGATTTCAAGTAGGTCAGTGACTAGATCATAGTAGCATAGTGTAGCATACTAATGTAGTGGCAGGGTGGTGAACAGAATGGATGAGGGTGCCTGGGAATATGGGCAGGGAGATAGATTTGGGGGGTGATTAGCTGTATGTGGGACTCTTGAGGGACCTGAGGGCTGGCCAGGCAGTGCACTGTGGGCTGCGGGTCTGGGCCTCAGTGGAGGCTGATCTGGAGCTGTGGAGTTGAGAGTCAAAGTGGTTGTAGGAAATGGAATCACAGTCTGGGTGAGGGAAGCAATTTTCAGGTGTTCATTGTCCATATTTACACCCTTTTCTGAAATAGATCCCCCTGAGAACAAGTCAGCTTCCCACTTTACAGGAAAAAGGCACCCCTCTTGCCTCTCTACCATCGTACTGTGATGTGTTTGGGGAGTGTACAAAAACCTGGGCTCCAAACAAAGGGGCCATTCTAAATACTGACGCAGGTGTGAGAAAGTGAGTGACTAACGACTGGGCCACACTTCCTTTTACGAATCAGGTGGTTTTGGCTGTTTGCTTTTAGCATTTTTGGAGGGAGACCTAAACATAATTTTTGATGATAGATTACAAAGTGATTGTGGGGTTCTGGCTAGCCTGGATGTCAAAGATTTGAGCAACAATGGTGTAAGTAGAATACTTCCATTCCTTCACTTGTGTATTTTGTTAATTTTTTTTAATGTTTATTCATTTTTGTTTTTTGTTTTTTGGTTTTTTTTAAATTTTTTTTTCAACGTTTATTTATTTTTGGGACAGAGAGAGACAGAGCATGAACGGGCGAGGGGCAGAGAGAGAGGGAGACACAGAATCGGAAACAGGCTCCAGGCTCCGAGCCATCAGCCCAGAGCCTGACGCGGGGCTCGAACTCACGGACCGCGAGATCATGGCCTGGCTGAAGTCGGATGCTTAACCGACTGCGCCACCCAGGCGCCCCTATTCATTTTTGAAAGACAGAGACAGAGCACAAGCAGGGGTGGGGTGGAGAGAGAGGGGGACACAGAACTTGAAGCAGGCTTCAGGCTCTGAGCTGTCAGCACAGAGCCCAAAGTGGGGCTCGAACTCACAAACTGTGAGATAATGACCTGAGCCTGAGCCGAAGTCGGACAGTCAACTGATTAAGCCACCCAGGTGCCCTCACTTGTGTATTTTGAAGTGTTTCTCAATGATTGCGTGTGTTAAAAAAAAAAAAAAAAAAAAAAAGTAGTAAGATGTAATTATGCCAAACTATTTCAGTGTGATTCAAAGACATCCACAGACCCATGAACTAATATTTGGAAAATAAACCCAGTTCTTCTCTAGTAATGGATATATTTCCAACAAAATTTTACTTAAAAATTTTTTTAGTTTATTTTTGAGAGACAGAGAGAGAGCGCCCGCAAGTGGGGGAGGAACAGGGAGAGAGAGGGAGACAGAATCCGAAGCAGGCTCCAGGCTCTGAGCCATCAGCACAGAGCCCGATGTGGGGCTTGAACTCACAAACCGCGAGATCATGACCTGAGCCGAAGTCAGACGTTCAACCGACTGAGCCACCCAGGAACCCCCTCCAAATTTTACTTATTATGTTTAATAATTGTCAAATTTTGCAATATACTTCTGATGCTTTGATTGTGTATTACCAATAATTGGAATTTATTACTACTCAGTATTACTATTCAGTCCAATGTTTTTGCATGTGTTTGGTGAATTATGGTCACAGAAACTTTTTTCTTTTAATTTTTATTTCTAATTTTTAATTTAATTTTTAATTTATGTATATAGTTTGTGGATGAGATAGATGAAAAGCTTATTGATAACAATAAGACTTTGAAACATAGAAATAAATTGGGTTTAACATCTGTGGGCAACACAAAAATTTGTACATGGATGTTTCTAGCAGCAGTGTCTACAATAGCCAAAAAGTAGAAACAGCCCAAATGTCCACCAACTGATGAATAAATAAAATGTAGTATATCCATATAATGGAATATTATTGGATTATAAAAGGGAACGAGTACAGATACATGCTGCAACATGGATGAACCCTGAAACGTTATGCTAAGTGAAGGAAGCCAGTCACAAAAGACTACATATTGTACGATTCCATTTGTATGAAATGCCCAGAATAAGCAAACCTGTAGACAGAAAGTAGATTAGTGGTTGCTTAGGGCTGTGGTAGGGAACCAGGGAAAGGGGAGTAATTGCCAATCAGTACAAGGTTTCTTTTGGGGGTGATGAAAATGTTTTAACGTGGATTCTGGTGATGATCGCCCAACTCTGGATATTCCAAAAACCATTGCATTATACACTCAAAGTGGATGGATTGTATGATATGTGACTTATATTTCAGGAAAGCTAAGAAAAACACCTGCGGGGAAATGGAATGGAAAATACGACTTAAAACAGAAAAAAAGAATAATGTACAATTATTGACGATTAAGGATCTTGTGCATGTACAAAGCATGATAAACTAGATTCTTTGCAACCATTTGAACTTGGGTTAAGATGTGGACGTCAAACTAGACATTGCAGGTACAACTAAGAGGTAGAAGGAGAGCAGGGAGGACTGTTTTCAGGTGGAAGGGGTGTCAGGTGTCATCTGCACTGGGCCAGCCAAGGACTCCAAGCCATCCATTGGATCCAGTTGGCAATTATGGAGTCCTTGACTTTGACATTCTCCTTTCTTACAGACTACAATCCAGCGTGGAGGCTGGTGGCTGGAGGCAGAGTTGAGAGAGGTTAGAGAAGAGAGCAACAGGGAGGAAGTGAGGACACCAGCTGTGGACTGCACTTAAGAAGTTAGAACACAGAGATAATGGGGTGGCAGTTTGCTAACTTCGGGGAGAAGTGGTGTAAAGGCAGTTGTTACTACTCTACAATGCAATCAATTTGAACATGTTTGTGGACGAAGGGCGAGAGAGTGGAGACGGGAAAGACGCTCATTTCTGCCACGGGCAGAATGTTCTGCACATCAGCCAGCTTACTTCAGAGTTGTGCCTCTCTCCTCCAGCAAGCGGGGTCTGTCCTCACTCGGTAGTTCTGCGGGACCTCCCAAGTCCTTGTTCAGGCAACAAGCCACTATCTTCACATACTGTTTCCTAAACTGCTTATCTCATTTTTAATGTTGCAGATGTTTAGGGCTCCGACAGGGTAGGGGTGTGGGTGGATAACAGGCTTGCTCAACATTCTTTTGAATCTGACTGATTTAGGGTAAGAGTGGCTTCTAAAAATTTCTTGGGTGGGAGTGAAAACAGAGGCTTTAAGGTCAAAATTTTAAACTCACCTTAGTTCACGTGAACTCTGCTGGAAGTGAAGAAACCAATCCTCCTCAAATACTGGAGGAAATGGGTCCCCCAGAGTGGGAGGCGGACGAGATGCCTTTTCCTTCTGTGGCCTGAGCCTCCACACACCAGCTGGGCCCCAGAGCGCATGGCTGAATCTGCAGCATGAGACCGAAGAGGGTCATGTGAAAATTCACAGCGAACAGGGTTTTTCCCCACAAGGTGCTCCATTGTTACTCCAGTTCACTTGAACCTACTTCATTATTTTTACACTCTTACGAAATGCTCTCAACAAGAACTGCAACAGTAAAGAGAAGAAAGGAAGTATTTAGAAATATTAAGAGAGAGGCGTGGTTGGGACAAAGCATCTTGCATTATCGTCTGCTGCAATGAGGAGGAAAAGACTGAGCCAAGGGAATTTCTTACATTCCTCATGTATCTAGAGCCACACCATCCATGTGAAGGTCACATCGGATGGACACAGTGAGGTCATGGTGAGGGAGTTGACTTCCGCTAGATCTCCTCAGTCTTTATATACTCTCTTTTCCTGGCTTAATGTTAACACTTGGCGAATTACAGACTATGTTACAAGGTGGCCAAAGAACGATGCGGTTTCAGGTAGATGTATCTGAAGTTCCTTGGCATTGAGCGAACAGTTTTCCAGGACATAGTTTGGTAGAAACATACTAGCAGCGATGGTAACAATTATTAACGGGAGAAATTATTTGTTTTTGTTTTTGAATTCCTACGTAATATTGTCATTGTTATCATTACAGTGTTTTGTCCCGGGCTCTTAAGCTTCCCTTGCCCCCTGTGTGGCTAAGAGCACTGAGAACACAAAGATAAATAGTACACAGCCTCTCTAAAGAGCAGTTCTTATTCAGGTGTCCATGGATCCTTGTCCTTGGATGGAATTCAGCGGCTTTGTGAACTTGAATGGAGAAAAAATTACATTTTCAGTAACCTCTAACTGCAACGCAGTATTTCCTTCAGAGAGAAACGGTGATGGAAAACACAGTAGCATCAGCCGTACCTGTGACCCGTGGTCACCAGGAAACACATGTATTTTCATATACATATCCTATCACAGCTGTGTGCAGCTCTCTTGAAATATTGCATATACATATCGCTACTTTGAAATAATGGCAGTTATTTGACCTACCGCTGGATATTGTCATTTAATACATCCGTGAAAAGGCACGTGTTATTACATCAAATATGTGTTTTGATAGTTTGACAACCATATGTCGTGATCAGTTCACTGCACGCACCTGTGTAGTTTACCTCATTCTGGGAAGTCTTCACAAGACTGCCAAAGGTGACTGAGCCACAATAAATGGTTAAGAACCCCTTTAGGTGTACAGGTTCATGGAAGTGGTGAGTAGAGGCAAGAAATATGCCCAGGAGCTACAGGAGCCCAAGAAGGGGGCTGACTCGGCTTCAGGAGATTCCTGAGCTGCATCTGGAAAAAAGCGTGAAGAGCAGAAGAAAAAAGCAGGAGGTCACTTGCAGGGAGAGAACGCAATGAGTGCACGCGGCCTGAAACCACCAGGCCTCTGTGGAAATGGGGAGTACTGAGTGTTAAATGCTTGCTTGCTGTACTGAGTTTTGGGGGTTAAAGAATGAATCAAAGACTCAGTCTAGAGGGTCAGTAAGCTCATGTTTTAGAGCAATTTTTATGGGGACACGGACAGGTTTCAATTTCCTTGAAAGTAATTCAGTGGCATATAATAATTCTTTTTTATGAGAGAGAGAGAGCTGGGGAGAGGGGGAGAGAGAGAAAGAGAGAGAGAGAGAGAGAGAGAGGGAAAATCTTAAGCAGGCTCTGTGCTCACTGTAGAGCCTGGTGCAGGGCTTGATCTCATGACCCTGGGATCATGACCTGAGCCAAAATCAAGAGTCAGACACTCAACCGACTGAGCCACCCAGGTGCCAGGGGTATACAGCTTTTACAAACAGCTTTATTGACGTATACTTCACATACAATGGATGCAGATATGTGGTAAGTTTTGACGTGTGCATACATTGTGAAGACGGCACAATCAAGATACGGGATATCTGTATCACCCCTTCCCCCAAAGTTCCCTAGAGCCCCTCCTGTCCTGCTACCCCATCCCTCCCCTGACAACTGCTTATCTGTCATGTAGAGTCATGTGCTTTTCCAGAATTTTATGTGAATAAAATCATGCACAATGTACTCTTTTTACACTGGTTTTGAGCATAACGCTTTTGAGATTCATTCATGCTGTTACAAATCAATAGTTCATTCCTTTTTTATTGTGAGACGTATTTATTATAGAAGTGTGTATGTTGAGAAGGGGGGAGAGAATCAACCGTTGTTTTCCTAATACAAAGTTTAAAGAGGGAGCGAGATTTCTACTGCTTATCAAATGGGAATATGGGTTAAAAATTGAGAAATGCTGGTCTGGAGTGTGGTCAGAGTGCATTCCAGCCCAAGTTTTTTCCTACCGTCGATGTTAAACTCAAGCACATTTGGAAATATTTTAGACCTGAAAGAAAGCACCGGGACATCAAAACAAGCACCACAGCTGAGCGGGCCTTTGCAACCACAGGCTTTCTGATGAAAAGATTTGTGGAGACTGCCTAATGAAGTGTTCAGAAAGCATTCTGTGTGTCATCTGTTTTCCTGACGACCTCCTCACTGGGTAGATAAGGGGCAAGAATTATTTTCCGTGTTGCACAAATAGGAAATGAGGTATAGTGAGTTTGAGAGAATTATTACTCAAAATAGAAGTGAGTCAGGGGCAGATTGAGGACTGCACACGACCTCTCCTGATCCTCTAATCCTAGCCTTGCTGGCAGGCCGGTCTGGCCCTAGGTTTTGAAGAAAATACAATGATTTCACTTTCACTTTTGTGCTTGTGTGGGTTGTGATAGAATCTTTACATTGGAGGAGTTAACGGGTTTTTTTTGTTTGTTTGTTTCTTCTTCCTTTTAAAAAATTTCGCCTTTCCAACTTGGTAAATGCCAACATCTGTGTTTACTCCATTTGGTTGAATTCAGCAACAAATACCTGTTTTGCGCAAGGCTCCTTACCAGGCATGGAAGAGGCACCAAGCTGGATCAACCCTGGCGGAGCCGGTAGAACAAAAGGACCAAATGAGAATTGAATGCTGTTTCTTACCGTCTTTTGAGTCATGAGAAATTTGAGAATCTGGTGAAAGTTATGGGTCCTCTCCCTCAAAAAAAAAAAAAAAAAAAAAAAAAGAAAGAGAAAAGAAAAGAAAAAAAAAAAGCACATATGTGCACACACACACAATTTTGCAATGATTTTAGAGCGTTTGAAGATTTTCCCTTCCACTCCCGAACTTGTCCGTAGAATGACCCAAGGGTATTTTTTAGCATGAAATGAAATAGTGATGCCTTGAAGGAAGCACAAAGCCATAGTCACTGACTAGAAAGAGAGATTAGAGATAAGATCCAGGTAGGTCACAGGGGCTGGTGGGGCTGGTGGGGTAGGTATGTTTTGAAATAGGCCTGTCTAGTTAGAGGTCAGGCATTTGTCTCTATGAGGCAGGATTCCAGCAGAAGGAAGGAGGGTAGGAAGTAGGAAAACTCAAACAATCCAACAAGCAGAGTTTGGCAGGAGGAAGATTACATGATGAGGAATCATCAGAATCATTAGAAACCATCATAGAAAGATAGAGGTCTTATTGTGAGTGACGTTGGAAGCAAGGTGAACTCTTCCGCCCGCCACCCTGAGTGAAGTATCTGTATTGCCTTTGATTTATTTATTTTTCAGGTAGGGGTTTTGGAGTGTGACTAGTACATCCTCATCGTAACGAATGAAGGAAGTAACAAAAATCAGAAATTCTCAAGTCATATTATCTGATCTCTATTGATAGTTGGTATATTTTGTTCTGGTTCATGAACATCGTCGTTCCTCATCACTGTCTCAACTCTGACCGACCACTCTTGTCATAAAATAAGTCCTATAAATTTACCACAGTTTTTATAGCTCTTCTCTGTTTATGTTCCTTACGTTTTTTTTTTTAAGATTTTTTAACAATTATTTTAGAGAGAGAGAGAGTGAGAGAGCGTGGGAGGGGCAGAGAGAGAGGGGGTTAGAGGATCTGAAGCGGGCTCTGTGTTCACAGCGGAGAGCCCAAAGTGGAGCTCGAACTCACAAACCATGAGATCATGACCTGAGCTGAAGTAGGACACTTAGCTGACTGAGCCACCCAGGCACCCCTCTTTATGTTTTTTTTAAAACACAACAAACATTTTATACAAATATTGTTCTTAATTTCTTAAGTTTATTTTTCTTATTTTGAGAGAGAGAGAATGAGAGAGTGAAACTGGGGAAGGGGAAGAGAGAGAGGAGAGAGAGAGAGAGAGAGAGAGAGAGAGAGAGAGACAGAGAATCCTAAGCAGGCTTCATGCTTTTAGCACCGAGCCCAATGTAGGGCTCAAACCCACAAACTGTGAGATCATGACCTGAACTGAAATCAAGTCAGACGCTTAACCGACTGAGCCACCTAGATGCCCCTGTTCTTAATGAAAACAAAAACAAAAACAAAAAACAAACAACTATTATTACTTTAGGACAGATACACAGAGGAGGAATTATTGGTCAGTGTGTATGACCTTCTTTGGAAGATAGTAGGCTTATATTAGTAAACGGCTTTCTGAATAGTTATTTGCCTGCTCCCTTACTTTCTTCTCTTTACTTATTTTCTTTCAGTATCCTTTGCTCCTTAGTCTGTTTCTTAAATACTGGAGCTCCCCACTTCCCCACCCATCCTGGGCCCTTTCTCACTGAACACGTTCTCTTCTTGACTCTCATTCACAATAAACATGTGTCAAATGCCTGTCATGTACCAAGCATTGTGTTTAACATCATGACATGTAATTTTCACCACGTCCCTGTCACATGATGATTAATATCTTCATTTTCAGACGTAGACACCGGAAAGGAAGTTCACTTTCCCAGGGGCATAGCCCCAGAGGCTCTTGGGGAATGTCTCTGGTCCATCACCTTAAGTGTGCACCTTCAGCTTCCACGTCTCTGCTGAGCTCGCCAGCAGCATGTTAACGGCGGACATTTCCACCCAGGGTTCCCATGGATGCCCCAGGCTCAATATGTCAAACACAGCTTCCAACTCTTACCTGCAAACTAGCTTCCCCATTGCGTAAGTCCCTAATCCACCCTTAACAATGATCTTTTCTTTTGCCTGTTCCTAATCACCCTACCCGGGTTTTATGCACCAATTCCATGTCCACATCCTGTATCCTCCCACCCACGCGGACATCACG